ACCTGGGTAGACAGGCAGTGGGATCACTTTGGGTGAGATTAAGAGGGATTTGAGGATGGAGTCTCTGGCACCAGCCCATTCGACGGATTGAAAGGTGGGAGAAACTAGTGCAAGTAACTAACTGCTCACTGAGCTGTCTGAAGCCTGTGAACAGGATGAGGGGGGTTTAAAGTGGGAACAAGAGTGGAAGGCAAGGGAGGAGAGGGTTTCACGGAAGAATTCGTTAGTGGAATCTTGGACTAGGGCTTCCTTTTGGCAAAACAACTGCCTCATTCTTAAACCTAAATCCCTAATTCAGATTACATTGGCGAAAGGTGAATGCAGCCATCATTATGGATTACAGTTCAATGTAAAGGTGGCCAAAATCCTCACAACTGGACCAGTAGGTTTTAACATTATGATGAAAGAAGATTGAAGTCGTCCAGCACTTTGTCTTGGATCCACAATCAATGCTCACAGAAGCAGCAATCGAGAGATCAGAGGATGGTCAAGCAGTTCGCATCCCTTGCCTTGGCTAGAGGGGACCTGCCAGAGATTTAGACAGAGATTATTGTAAATTTGATTATGGTGGGTCGACCCATGGTCTAATACTTGGTCTAATTGATGCCCCTCTCAACCCAACCTGAATTTGTTCTAGGTTCTAGTATTTCTTGCTTGTTCCATGACAGAAATGTCTTCTCTTTTTAAATATTGAGGGTGGTCGTTTCTTTCTTACTTTTTAATTTTTATCTTTATATTATCATTTTCATCTGTTGTGAAGCACAAGAGTGGATGCGTAGAGACAATAACTAATGTAATTGTTTATTGGGGATGTAGGGGCACAGCGAAGAGCATGGAAAGTTAGGGGATTAGGGGAGCAAACAACGAATGTAGGAGGGGGGAGGGAGCATTAGAACTGATTGTGATGATGTACATGCAACTCTTTATAAAAGCACTTTCACCATGGAAGCATATATGTGAATATTATATTAATAAAACTACTTTTAAAAAAAAAACAAAGAAAGAAAGAAACCAAATTTGACCAAAGGTTACATGGGTGAACGGGGAATTGTTGCTGAGGGAGCATTGAGTTTCTATCAATGGTGGTAGAATAATTTGGAAAAGGGTATCAATAACCATTGTATAACACGGAGAGTATACTCAATGGCACTGAATTGTACACGTAGAAGTTGTGGAATTGGACAATGTTTTGCTGTGTATATTTTTGTCACAATTAAAAATAACTACATGAATAACAATGAATACAAGGAACACATTTTAGAATTGATTGTGGTGATAAATGTACAACTGTTCCTGCTATGACTCAATTATTGAATCGTATGACATGTGGATGAAATGTCAATAAAACTCTAAGAACATTAAAAAAACAAAAAACAGAGCGATCAGAGGGTGCGCTGCGTTAGGTCACTCTGCTGCACAAGACCTCGAGGGAGTGTCGAAAAGCAAAGAGGTGACTGTAAGGACTAAGGTACGCCTGATCCAAGCCACGACACTTTCAATCACCTCACGCAGGTTAAAGTGGAACGTTTAAGAAGGAAGCCCGAAGAACAGCCCATGCGTTTGCTTTGTGGTGCTAGGAAACCCTGAAAGTCCCATGGGCTGCCGGAAGAACAGACAATTCTGTCCTGGAGGAAGCAAGGCCAGAATGCTCCTGAAAGGCAAGGATGGCGAGACTTCGTCTCATCTATTTTGGACATATGTCAAGAGACCAGTCCCTGGAGAAGGGCATCATGGCTGGTAGAGGGGCAGTGGGCATGAGGGAGGCCCTCAACAAGATGGACGGGCACGTGGCTGCAATGACGGGGCTCCGGCATGGGAACCATTGTGCGGATGGTGCTGGGTGGGGACCTGCCTCGGTCTGTCATGTCTGGGGTCGCTGTGGGGCAGAACCGACTCGATGGCACCTAACAACAACGTCAAAAGTGAGCTCAAGATTAGTAGGATATAAAAACGATAGCACTGGACTTCATCGTATCAAAAACATTTGCTCTTCAAAGGACACCCTCTAGGAAGTAAGCGAGCCACAGAATGGGGGAACATGTTTTGAAAACCATGTATCTGACTGGGGATTTGCAGCTAGAACATATACTCACTGCCATCAGTCGATCCCAAGCCCAGCAGCCCTGTGGAACAGGGTAGAACTGCCCCTGTGCGTTTTCTGGGGCTGCGACCTCTCACGGGATAGAAAGCCTTTGCCTGTCTCCTGCCGAGGGGGCCACTGCTTTCTCACAGCTGACCTTGTGCTTTGCAGCCCAGAGCATGACCACTACGCCTCCGCGGACTGAAGACCCTTCTAATTCAGGACTGCAAAGACCACCACTTAAAAATGGGTGAAGGACCTGAATGGACATTTCTCCAAAGATAAACTAATGGCCAACAAGTGCATGAGACGTTCATCAATATCATGAGCTACCAGGGCAATGCAAAAGGTGGGCAGGAAAAGGAGGACAGCACCCACACTGAGATGGCTACAATGGAAAATAAGGGGGGGGGGGGTCACAAGTGTTGGTGAGTTTGTAGAGATCAAAACTCTCACAGTTGGTGGGAATGGAAAATGGTGTATACACTTGAGAAAGCATCTGGCTGTTACCTTTTAAAAAATGTTGGTGGTTACGTGATTCTAGCTCCTGGGGGCCTGTGTCAGAGTAGAACCAGGGCTCATGACTGTGATCTCTCAGAAATAGATTGCTAGGTCTGTCTTCTGAGGTGTCTCTGTAGATTTAAACTGCCAACTTTCTGCTTGGTAGCTGCGCACTTAACCATCTGTGCCACCCATGGACTTCAAGGAACTGCCTGACCCAGCAATCCCACTCCTAAGTCTTCACCTGGAGAAATGAAAGCATGCCTCATCAAAAAATTAGCACACAGTTCCTCACAGAGTACAAACTATACAAATACCTTGAAGATCTATCGACTGAGGAATGGAATATGGTATCCTCATACAAGGAAGACAGGGCCTTCCACTACTGTCGAGTTATGGCCTCAGGGACCCGCAGAGGCGGGATCACTGTGAGGTGGACTTGACTTGCTGGGAGTGACTTCCCTGTGGACCATTACTTAGCAATAAGGGGAAATGCAGTGCTGACACTTGCGACAACATGGGTTTATCATGAAAACACCAAGCCTGGGAAGTGGACTGCATATTCTATGAGCCAATTTATCTCTGACAATGTAAATCAGTGGTTCCCTAGAATCAGGTGACCAAGGACGTGAGGTTGCTTGTCAGGGGTGATGAAAATCTATCTACAGTGGAAAATGTTCTATCTACAGACGTGGCCCAACTCTGTGGATACACAAGAAGGCACTGCATTTAGCACTTCTAATGGCTGAGTAGCATGTGAGCGTTGGGCCCATGCTGACCAGTACCTCAGGAAGGCCACGCAAGGCTGAAGGCAGCATATCATGGGAGGCAGGCATGTGATGCACACAGCAACCCCTTCACCAAGAAACAAGTGCTTGGAAATCATCTTTTAACCTTGAATTTAAAAAATAACTCCTTAAGTCTTCTTTAAACCGAACACACAGTGACTGTCAGTTCTGACCCAGGGACTCTAGGACAGAACGGCCCTGTGGGATTTCCAAAGCTGTCAGTTTCAAAAGTAGGCTGTCACCCTTCCTCCCATGGAGGGGCTAGTGGGTTCCAATCACCACACGTAAGGTTAGCAGTCTAGCGCTTAACCACAGTGCCATCAGGGCTCTGTAAGTCAAATGGATTCCAACTCAAAGCAATATGATGGCTAGCTTTTTAAAAATTATAATTATTATTTTTAATTGTTTTATTAGGACCAAATTATAATTATTATTTTTGTTTTATTAGGGGCTCATACAACTCTTATCACAATCCATACACACATCAATTGTGTAAAGCGCATTTGTACATTCATTGGATGGCTAGCTTTTATGTCAACCTGGTGGCACCTGTGTAGGGGCAGAGCCCAAGCATCAATCAGGTATCACAGCCTGATGGTGCCTTCCTCGGGGAGTGGCTTTTGGATGAGAAGCACTGAGAGCTTCTCTTGCTGCCCTCTGCCTTCCTGTCTGGGTTGGAGGCCTGTGTGGCCTCCTGTTCCTGGGAGCTGTGGCGCCCTGCCATGCTGCTGCTGACCTAGGAGCCACGGGATTCTGTGATCTCCCTGATTCTCACTTCACCTGCGTGACTCTGGGGAGGACTCCGGCTAGCATAAGACCCAGGGACTGGGCTTCCTTGACACAGTCCTTGTACAGTACCTGAGTATGCTGGCTTGTCTGTAGAAAACATAGTCGAATGCAGGCACCTGAAATGCAGACTTACATCTTTAGGGGAGCAGACACTCATCTCTCTCCAGGTAGAGGAGCTGGTAGGTTTGAACCATAAACCTTAAAGTTAGCAACCCCAGGCCTAACCCACTGCACCATTAGGGCACTGCTGTAAACTAAATTGTTGAGCTTAAATATTAAAGAATGTTGTTTGTCAAACTATTGACAAGATTACGGAACTGTTATTGAACTACTATCAAATTGACAAGAGCCATGTGAAAAGTTAAGTAAGAAGCTTAGGGGCAAGTGAGTTTGTTTCCATCGATGGGGGAAGATGAAAATGTTTGCCCCGTTTAAAGAATGTAATCAAGGCGCACGTAGCAACTGCTGAATTGGTTCTGCTGTGTGTTGTACCACCACCACCAAGAGAGTCCCAGGATAGGTGCTGACCATGATCTTGCTGCCCGGCCAGTGACCTACATAGAAAACCAAAAGCTTGTCTTCTTGCTCATGCAGAGGAGGGAGAGATGAACAGGAGCAAGTTAACAAGCAAATACAAACCCAAGGTCTTTTTCCCAGGACTTTACCAATACAGCTCCTGGTGCGGCTGCACACCTCTCAGGTGTTATCTGTCATTTAAAAACAGTATTTTTAAAAATGCAACTTCAAGTGCAACTCGGGAAGGGGGCTCTGAGATGATCTTTAGCAGCCAGCCTCACCTGAACATGGGATGGGAAATGTCCAAAGAAAAACACTGAGTTAGCTCAAGTTTCATTTTTAATTTTTTTTTTAGAGGCATAGACTGTCCAGATTTCAAAATCTTTCAACATAAAAAATAAAAGCAACATTTTTTTTTTTGGTTAGTAGCTAACAAAATAACCTCAGGTCAAGTTTATTATACAGAAATATTTCATGGGCTAGATGAGTACTTTATACACTGACCTCAGAAGGGTTAGGTGTTTTGTTGGAGGGCGTGAGGATGGAACATGCCCCTGCCAGCACCGCCCACCACCTCCCTGTTCGCACCCAGTCTTCCTCCCACTGTAGTCTCTGAGACCTGTGCCCTCTGCATGTTCAGTATGACAGGCATACAGCACATAGATGACCCGTGTGCCAGCCTTGCATTCGCCTGCTTCTATCTGCCTTGCCACTGGGTGTGAACCGTGGGCCACAGGCAGGCAAGTAAACTCGACATCGGCCCGTGTGGCAAAAACCAGCAGAAGTACAAGCGTGTAGGTCCAGGAAGGGAAACTTGGATGCACACAGCAAATGGCCAAGCAAGAGACTCGGGGTGAGGTAGGCCAGAAGGAACCGAGGTGAGGGCCAGCAAGGGTATCTCGTGGGGTGCCCTCGCTCACCAGCACCACCTCAGGACCTGCGGTCTTCTCCTCGCTTCCTAACTGGACAGCCCCCCTTGACGTCTGCATAATTTACCAGAAGAGTTTCCTCCATGGTTGCAGCAGGCTGACACCGGCTGCTAGACCAATACCTTCTGCACAGGTGAGACCATAGGCCAGGGACATGGGGCTGAAACCAAGGTCTTTAACATTTTGTTTTGTTTTTTAAGTGCCTGGGAAGCCACACAAGAAGTGTGAACTAGAGAGATTGGCGCTGATCTCACGGATAGCTCAGGGAGGCTCTGAAGAGCACCTATAAAAAGCAATAGGAAGCCCAAGCCCTGGAGGCTGCCGGAAGCCATGCCAAGGCCCCGATTCGAGAAGCAAAACTGTCCCCAGACTGCAGGAATGAAGCCACATCACTGGACATGCCGCTGACTCAGCGCTAGCTCCTGGGGACGGGAGCCTCCATGTGCTAGACTAGGAGGGCTGCATAGGCCTCTTGGCTGTAATCTTTATGACAGCCGCTCACCAGGCCTTTCTTGAGAGGCACTGCTCGGAGGGTCTGACCTGCAGCCTTTCAGTAAATAGCCCGGCCCAAGCCATTCAGGTACTCAAAGACGTGCGGGTAGAGGAGGAATAAAAAATAAGGACAGGCTTGGAGTCTAGAGTTAAGAAAGGGCCTAAGATACACAATGGGAGATCCCTGGCTAGCAGGTCCAGGGAGAGAAGCTCTGGGGCGAATTTAGGCACGAGGAGAAAAAAGGCCAACAGGTCACCCAGGGAGCACCTGGCCCAGCCTCCAACTCAGCTGTCCAGCTCCTCCCTGATGGTAACGCGCAGCGGGCAGATGCGCAGGGGCTCCGGCGGCCCGTCCACCTGCATGCCCCCAAGGTAGAAGTAGGGCCGCACCTCCCCGAAGCGGGCGTGGAAGGTGTAGAGGTGGCAGTGGCGTTCGGCGTCATAGAAGGACAGCTCGCCCTCCTCACACTCGAGCTCTATGCGCAGGCGGCGCGGGACGCCCAGGACCACGGGAGGTGTGGACGGGTCTGACGTCATGCAGTGGTCCCCATCCGTGCCCTGCGTGCGGCACATGTACCAGAAGCCCGAGCGCGTGTCATGGTAACAGCTGTGTGCGTGTCCTTCTATGCTGGTGTCCTGGCGGACACGCACCACGCCCACCCGCCAGCTCGGCAGCACCCCCAGGTCCACCTCCCAGGCGTGGGAACCCTGGGAAAAGGCACGGGAGCCCAGCAGGCAGGGCGCCGAGGAGAAGCGCTCTGGGTTCTCCACCTGCACCCGGTAGCCATGGTTGGTGACGCTGGTGAGGTCATCGGAGACGGAGAGCCAGCCAGCCGCAGTGTTGGGATCGAAGCTGAAGGGCACTGAGAACACAAGGGGAGGGGGGGGGCTGAGGGGCAGCAAATCTCACACCCTCCCTTCTCAGGCCAGCGATGTCTCCACCCTCCACACCCCAAAACTGACCAACGATGACCCTGGGGGGCCCAGTCCAGGGAGGGAGCAGTTCTGGAGAGGAGGGGCGACCCTTGATTGCCACACCACCCTGTGATGTCTTGGAGCACCCTGGTGCTCCTCTGGATCCTAACACTTCTGCCTGTGAAGCCTGGGCCCTGAGGCACATGTGGCAGGGGTTCACGTCGGGAGAAGTGGGTGATCCCGGAACCGGGGGCTGCGGAGGAGTGAGGTCTTCCGTTGTGCAACAACAGGAATCTGGATGGAGGGGGTGGGCAGTGAGTGTGAGGGCAAGGCTGGGGCAGCAGCAGCAGCGGCAGCGGCAGTGGGGCCCTGGGCTGCTGAGAAGATGGACTGAGAGGAGGTGTGATTGGGGAGGAGTGGGTTGGGGTACCGCTTGGCTCTGCAGGTAGTGCTACTGCCCTAGTTGGCCTCTCCCTGCGCCCCACTCACCAGATTCAACAGACAGGACCATCTTCTTCCACACACGGTACTGCAGCGAGTCCAGGTACTTGCAGACGTCAATGAGCAAGCCGGGCTGGACAGGCTCCGGCTCCATGCTGCAGAAGAGTCTGGGCACAAGAGATGGGCACGGTGGGCTAGGCTCACGGGGATCCTGGGCCTAACTGGGGTCCAGTGGAAACAGGGATCATTCCTAAAATTCCCTTTCCCAAACAAACCTGGATTGGGCTCTGCTGGGAGATGAAGGAAGAGGAAAACAGACTGTTACACCCACTAGGGATTCAGGTTGAGAACTTGCCCTGTCTTAGGTGGGGTAAAGGTTAGAGTGAAGTTCTCAGATAGAACCTTAAAGGGCATCTGGTCCAATGGTCCCAGTTGTTGCCTGAACCCTAGCGGGTTGTCATCAAGGCTTTGCATGAACACCCCCAAGTATTCATCCTGCCCAGAGGACGCCTGTCTATTGCTGGGCAGTTCTGATGGGTCATTCATCCCTGCAATCCCAGCAACGGTCCACACGGGCCAGTGTGTGCTAAGGCCCTCAACAGGGAGGCTAACACACGATGAGTCTAAACAAGAAGCTTGAGTCCATTGGTGGAGAGCACTCTCTTCCCTGTGGTGGAAAGAGACCCTCCACCCTCAGGAGAACCACTGACTCCTCCCGCCAGAACAGGAATGCCTTGAAAGAAGAGCTCTCGCTAACTGCCCGTCCCACCATTCCTCAGCTCGCTTCATAACTGCCTGGCCCTCGGAGCCTCTAGAGACTGGTCCCCGACAGTTCTGCCTGCTCTTCGCGAGTCCCACCATCAGCCTTGGTGACCTACCGTCGTTTCCGGCTCTTGTGCTTCTGAAAGAGAAAAACCAGAGGGACAAACACAGACACAGACAGACAACACAGAGAAAAAGACAATTACACTTCTGAACAGAAAAGAAGTCTCGGTTCAGGGACTGCAAGCTTTAATATGGTTTCGATGGCAATACTCTCCAAGTTCATCTGTAGATGCCAGGCAACCCCTGTAACAATCCTCGTGGGATTCTTCCCAGAAACTGACACGCCGACCCTCGAATTTACCTAGATAGCTAAGGGGTCCCAAAGAGCCAAAACACTCTTGGAAAAGAACACACTTAGAGGACTCACACTTCTCATTTTCAAAACTTACCAAAGTAACAGTTACCAAGTTAGTGTGGTGCTGACTTACGTTCAGAAACATAGTTTAGTGATACAGGATAGAAGGGCTAGAAATAAACCTTCAGTTTTACTGTCAACTGGCTTTTCACAAGGTACCCACATGCCAAGACAACTGGGTACCTACATGCAATAGTATGCAGTTGGATCCTTTACTCCCAGGTGAAAATGAGCAAGGGATACAAAAAAAAAAAAAGAGTTCTCCAAAGAAAAGCGCATGGCCACAAGGTACAGGAAAGATGACCAACATTAATAGCCAGCAAGGAAACGCACATGAACAGCTCAACGAGCCGTCACCAACTCACTACGCAGGAGCAGCAAGCTGCACCTTTGTCCTGAGGAGCAAGTGGTGGATTCAAACCGCTGACGTTCTGATTAGCAGCCCAGCGCATAGCCCGCTCTGCAACCAGGGCCCCTAACAGCTCATTAAACCCACTGTTGTCAAGTGCCTTCTGAAGCTGTAAATCTCTCAACGGAGCAAATAGCTCCCATGGAGAAGCTGTGGTTTTGAATCGCTGGCCTTGTGGTCAGCAACCCAGTGCTTACCAAACAGCCCCTGGGATCTACCGGTGACTACACTTTAAAAGACATATCATAACAAGTGTTGACACGAATGCAGAGAAATCAGAGCCCCATACATGACTAGTGGCAACAAAGACAAGGACAGACACTTTGGGAAAATGGGCTTTGCCTCAAAAGGTTGAATACACGGTTGTCATATGACCCACTGCGAGATAGCTGCCTAAGAGAAATTCACACACGTGCTCACATATTCATAGCGGCTTTATCCACAGTAGCCAAGAAATGGAAACCGTCAACCAAATATCCATCAACTGATAAATGGATGAATAGAAGAGAGTATCCATTCAATGGAATATTACTGAGCATAAAGCCAAGCCCTGGTGGTGATGCACGCCACAGACTGCATGGGCCTGGGAAAGTGTCCGTCACACAAGAGCTGCACGGCACGCTTCGTTTCTAAGAAGGATCCAGAACAGGCAGATCATAAAGGCAGAATGGACATCGGTGGTTGTCTAACACGCCGAGGGAGAGTGGGAGTGGGAATGAATGGTGCAGGGCTTCTCTTTGGGGTGATGGCAGGGAGGCGGCTGTCCAACCCTGTGGATGTACAAAAGCCACCCATCCTTCAAATGCACCGTCCAAATGTGATATATGGAGATTGCGCCAAAAAAAGGTGAAAATGTCACGTCTTACCATGTGATCTCTCATTTCACCCATTTTACAAAAACACGCCAAGGGACGAGAAAGACTCAGGGAGCAAGGCTTCGGTGAGCGCGTCTGACCATAGGGGGCGAAGGGCACAATTACGCAAAGAGCATTGCAAAGGTTAGCTGAAATCTAACACCTTTTCATTTCATCTCCCCTTTGACTTATTTTAAATTTGTTCTGGTTTTTAATATTTGCTATTGAGATTTTTGTTTCATTTTGTTATCGCTAGCTTTTTCTCAGTTTTTGTTTTTGCTTTGTATGATTTTCTATGAAAGCCAGGATAGGTAAATCTGTATAGAAGAGTAATTGGTTTAATGGTTTCTTGGAGAGATGGCAGGAGCGGTTCAGTGGAAATGGGGAGCCACAAGAAGGAAAAAAATGTCCTTAAGTGGATTGTGGTAATGATTGCATAACTCTCCTTGATGTGATCAAACTAATGAATTGTAAGATAGGTGACTTATAAGGCAATAAAACTGTTAAAAAATGTCACCCTCAAATCATATTTAAAATTAACTGAGCAGTTTTAAGACTCCAATAAGGAGTGACAAGAGAAGACAGAAAGGAAGAAGGAGAAGGTGGCGAGGGATGAAGAGAGAGATGAAGAGACTCCCAAGGAACATGGCCCGACTGCAATCTCATTGCCTCATTATAAAGCACAGCTCCTCACCTGTAAGCCAACCAGCGTCCAGTGGGAGACCAGAAGACTGGGCTGGTTGGTTCTGGAACACCAGCCCAGAGCCCCTGGAGCCAGGACGACGACGCCTTACCATGAGGAAAGACACGTCATCTTCCTTCATCTCCCTCTGCAGCCGCTCAATCTCGCATGCCAGTGTCTCCGTCTCTTCGGAAAGCTGCTTTATCTTTTCCTCCGCCAGATGCTGCTTCTGCCTCGCCTCCTCCGCCATGGCGTCCAGGATGGCTTGCTCTTCCACCCTCAGGAACTCGCGAAGCTTATCAAACTCCTGTCGGATTCGACCTTCCAGCCAGACCGCCTCCACCTATGGCAGAGAGCGGGAGAGATGGGAGGGACCTCAAATCACAGGTCAGATACGAGGCTCAGCCATCACCTAGCATAGATTTTTGGCACAGGAACTCTGTGTTCAAAGGAAATCAAGGCGGAACTCCCGTTGTTGTGGATGTTGTTGTTGTGGTTGTTGCTAGATGCTGTCTAGCCCATTCTGACTCACAGCGACCCAGACACGGTCCAGTCCTGCACTAACCTCATCCTTGTTTGACTCTGTAGCCCCAGTGGCCGTAGATGACAGATAGGGTTCTACTGTGTGAGCACAGATGCATATGCTCAAATTAGAGTGGGAAATTCCAACGGGATGATGAAATTTTGATAAATCAAAAAGTAAAGATAAAAACCACTGTTCACAGATAACAACTGCAGTTCTGTAACTGCTCAAAGTCCAATGTTCTGGGTGCAAAACAGTCAAAAGGAAAATGGTGAATGAAAGAAATGGTTACAAATAGTAACACAAAAACTATCTCATGCTTTTTTCCAAAGTATTTGTCTTCCAATCACAAGTGTTTGAATGTGTCAGATCTAGAGGCTTACACTAAGAGTAGGAAGCATTTATTTTTTTTTAAATCAATAATAGTATCCATACTCCTAATCACAAGACCAGAAAGGAGAGATCCAGTTCAACAATGCCATGGGCGTACTCAGAGAAAGCAGACGGATATTCATCTCCGGTCACAAAGACTTTTCTTAGTAGAATATGAAGCAGGCGGAGGAGCGCCAAAGAGCGAATGAGAAACACGAACCACCCACCGCGTTACATACAGACAGACTGGAGAGTTCTGTAGGACAGGTCTGCCATTCTCCTTCCCAAAATCAAATACACAAATGAAATCATGACACTATTGGAAAAACAACTCGAGACACACAGGCCCCAGCACTGGCGTCTCGGTGATCACAGCCCAGGACTGAGCATCCTGTACCCGTGTTTGTGACTCTCGGTGTGATGACAGACAATCCCTGAAAACAGGAGAAGGACCCCGCCACCCCCTAAAAAAGGTAGACTGGTTCACTGAAAAAATAATTGGCAAGCCGGGGAAAAAACTTCTAACAAACTTTCCTGTGAATACACAAAGCACACAACTCCACCGTGTGAGCTGTGAGCAAAACTGGTGAGGCCGCAGCCATTATCTGAACCGGCCATGTTCACGGGTAATCGATTTGGTTGAATTGGGTTATATATTCATCATTTATGCTGTCATTGTTTCTCAAGGATTCACACAAGAATGTGGGATGTTACTTACTGTGACCCCTCCAGCTTTCTGGGCCATTGTAATAGTAAACTACAAGATTCTATTTATGCACTCATTGTTATGGCTTTTTGTGGCCTGTCACGTATGTAAAGAGTTACATAACAATTGTAATCTGCAATTAATATTGTTAGCGAAATTAGTGAAATGCTACATTAAGCACCTGCTAAACAGCTTGGTTCGCTGGATGCTCCCTTAGCTAGCTTCCTAAAGCGAGCAGCTTATTCACTTGGAGTGGTTCTTCATTAGGCTGGATTACTAGTATTTGAGAGATCATCAAGAGGAAAGAAAGAAAAACAATCCCCAGAGAAAAGGAGAATGGGGCTTTCTGTGCCTGTAAAGACGTACAGCCTCAGAAACCCTCAAGGGTACTTCTGTCCTGTACCCTAGGGTCACCATGAGGCAGAATCAACTGAATGGCAGGGAGGTTTTTCAAAAGACCTTGTTCCCTGAATTTGGACTTCTGGCCTCCTAAACTGTGAGAAAATAAATTTCTGTTGTGAGAAAATAATTTTGTTAAAGTCATAGATTAAAAATCAAACAAACCCCAAACACCTCAAATTCACTGCCATCAAGTGGATTCCAACTCATGGCAGCCCAATAGCACAGGATAGGGCTGCCATGTGGTTTACCGAGACTGTAACCACTCACCTTGAGGACCGCAGTCCAACTCCTAACCACCAGGCCACCAGGGCTGCAGTGGTTCTCCCAGGACTAAATAATTAAGACAGGTTATAAGGCATCAGAAATGTGGCAACCAGCATTTAGAGAAAGACACCTCTGTTCTTCACGTCATACACATTACCGCATCTGGATGCTTAGAAGATCCTGTTGTTGTCACGGGGTCTGCCCACTGAGGCTTCGAGTGACCCCACAAAGAGGGAACTGTCCTCTCTTTATGGATGAGATTAGCCTGGAAGATGGGGGCTGAGGGATTTGCCAGGTGAACCAGGTTTGGGCTTGAAAACCAGTGAGCTTTGAGGCTTCAGCCTGGTCTCCCGACATTTTGCAATCCCTCTCTTGCTCTGTCCCACCAGCTCTGGGGCCATTGATTCCTTAGCCAGCTGTCAATGAGGCTCTTTCTTAAGCCTCATCCTCTTCCATGGACACATGAGGGCTACGGGGCACTTGGACCCTCCCAGCAGCCCCAGCCAAATGTGGCGACAGCCAGTTGAGCAGTAGTTCCTAGAAGCCACAGCCTCAGGGAGGAATAGATCAGAGCCAAACAGCCAGAAGCCTGGGTGCCAATCCAATCAGGGCCCAGATGAAGAGGGCGCCAAGGTACAACAATGGGAGCGGGGACAGAGGGGACTCAGTTCAGTCATTCAATTACCAGCCATCTAGTGATCCACCTATCCAGTGCCAAGAGCTCTTTGAGAGTCTGGGAATCATGAGCACTGTATTGAGTACATCCTCATACAGAGATAGATAGTAAAATAAATGGAGAAACTGCACCGAGGAGGGATGATAATGGGTGAAAGGGAGGGTTAACTTGGGGTGGGGGACCGAGGAAACCTCAGGGAGACACGAGAGCTGAGACTTTACGGACCCCAAGTATTTGAAGATCTGGGGAGAAGTCTTGAAGGGGCTCAGCTTGTTTAAGCAGACAGTCAGAGGGGCAAACAGAGAAAGTTGGCGAGGAAGGCAGGGCCCTGGGGGATGGCCCTGAGGCCACAGAGTCTGGAAGCCACAGGCAGTTTCCAGCAGAGGCATAATCAATCCGCAGGGAGAGGACTGCAAAGAACACCCGGGGACGGGGACGCAGGGAGTCAGGGTAGGGGGCTACGCAGGCCTCAGGGCGGGAGGGCCATTGCGACCTGGACAGGGATGACTGCCGTAGAGATGGGCAGCGACAGACAGACAGGACTTTAAAGATAGAGGCGCAGATGGCAGACAGCCTGGAGGTAGGGATTAAGAGAACATGAGGGCTCACAGGCCATTAGTGTAGCTTGAACAAGCAGGTAGGTGCGGAAGTATGGCTGGTACGTGCTGAAGGCTACCCTTCGCCCACGATGCAGCGGGCTCTGGGGCTTTGTATGCTGCTCCTCTGGCTGCAGGACGGGCATGGCCAGGTCTCCCAGAGGGACCAAGGCAGGGCAGACACAGACGGCTTCCAGGGCAGACTCCTGTGAGGAGGCGGGGTGTGACTCAGCCACAACTCACCTCTCCCCTACTTCCCCACTTGGCCTGTGGCCCCACTCACCTGATTGTGCTTGGTGATGGCTTCGTAGGAGCGCCGCATGGCCCAGAATGCCTTGGCTTTCTCCCGCAGCATGTGCTCCATGTTCCTGCACTTGGCCTACAGGGAGGACACGGACAGGAGCAGGACAGTGAGTTAGGGCAGGAGACCAGCCACCCTACACAGACACTGGAATGCCATCCCGTCCTCAGTATAAACCCAACCACACTCACTGGGCTTGGACCTGCAGGGCACAGCTGGAGAGCAAGTGCACCATTGCATTTAAAATCCAAAGCTTGGAACATCAAAGGTCCTGTCATCTAGCCCCGCCCCTGGTTTCACACCTGTCCTGGGGGGGTGGGGGGGCACGGGAGACAGGGCTGCGGAGGTAAAGGGAGCTGTTCTCCTTCAAGGTGGTCACGGAGAGCACAGAAAGGTATCCTGCGAGTCCACAGGATGGACTGTGGACCCCGGAGCTAGGAGTGGGATTACAAAGTCAAGGTGGCCACACGCTCCTGGCTCTACTTTCTGCAGGACTACTTTCTAGTCACTAAGGGCCAGGTCTGATGAAAGGTGATTCCGTTATTTCTCACCAAACCCACTGCCATCTCGTCACTGCTGACTCATGGCAATGCTACTGGACAGAGGACAACGGCCTCATCCAGTTTCCCAGGTGCCACATTCCTCTTCCCCACAGAGTGGCGAGTACTGAGTTTGAACTGCCGACCTTTGGGTTAGCAGTCGAGTGCTTTAACCACTGCTCCACGGGGGCCTTCTCTGGGCACAGCAGCCAGGAACTCAAACAACGCATGACACTGAGCAAATCTTCTGCAACAGGCCTCATTAAAGCATCCCTGAGCAAAAAGACTACAATCTGTCTGACCCAAGCCATGGTCTTTCCGTCATCTCAAAAGCACGCCAAACCCGGGCAAAGCCACCGATGGAAGACAGGAGACGCGATGCCCTCAAACTGTGGCGTTGGCCCCAAATACTGACAATCCTACAGAATGCCAGCAGGAACATGGCCCGAAGTGAGGATGGCAAGGTTTCCTTCCAGCTGTTTACTTGGAACATGTGAGAAAAACCTCATCACTAGGAAAGGTCACTCATGTTTAATAAAGCAGAGAGCCATCAGAGAGGGGGGCATGCCAACACGCTGGCCTTAACGGTGCACTTACATACACCAGTGACTGTGAAGCGGGCACAGGCCCGGCAATGCTTCGTGCTGTTGGACAACGGGGGCCAGGAGTCAGTGCCAACTTGATGGTGACTGACGCCATGGTCCCCCACGACTCCTGCCCTATGCCGCATGCCTGCACGTACCTCTGCCCTATCCCACTATTCTAATACTGCTTAGATCACGAGAAAAAGGTTCACCAGAAACATTTAAAAAAATTGTTTAGTAAAATTGGCTTGTTTCATTTTAATTATTGATCTCCTTGCTCAAGTTGAAAAACCACTACAAATTCTATTTGGGATTTCACTTTTTGTGTCTAAGATCTGTCATTCTCTTTCCGTCTTTATCCCTTCCTCTCTATATTCTGAGAAAAGGCTTCAAACTTTTCTTTGGAGACATGGTGAAACAAATTCTAATAATATTAACGATGGTTAAGAGGTCAATTTCTAGAAGGAAGGTTGGCAGTTACAATCCAGCCAGAGCTACCTCAGAATTCAGGCCTCCACCACCGGTTGGTTCTGATTCATAGCCACCCTTGAAGGCAGGGGGGACCGCCCCCTTTAACTCTTTCCAGGAGAAAGAAAGCCTCATCATGCCCAGAGATCTGCTTTCAAAAGGTCACAGCCTTGAACCCGTGGAGAAGTTCAACTCTGCAATGCACGGGGCACCAGCAGTCCCAACTGACAACATCATGGCACCCTGTGCTGCGCCCGCGTACACCGGAGCTCCGTCAGCAGTGCTGAGTAAGAGTCCATCCCTCGCCCTGTGACCTGTCTAACCAAGCGGGTGACCAAAGTCTTTGTCGCAACTCTGAGTAGGACCTGGTCTGTGAGCCAGGGACTGGGACAGGGGTGAGTGGTTAGAGAAAACAAGATGAAACAAAGCACCTCACTGCCATCGAGTCAATTCCAATGCATAGGAACCCGAGAGAAAGAGCAGAACTTGCCCCTGTGGGTTTCCAAGATGGATCAGAGCAGTCGTTCTCCCTCAGAACAGCTGGTGGGTGGCTTTGAACTGCTGACCTGTGGTTAGCCGCCCATTCCACTACCAGGGCTCCTGCGTTAGGGAAAGGGGGAAGGAATTAAAAGGAAGAAGACATCTGTGATGTGGGTTAAGAAAAGCCTGTATCAACCTGTTAAGATTTTGCCCGACTGATCCTAAGAAAGTCATCCTAGAAGGAGGGGCTCTGGGTCTGGGGGAAGGAAGCCACAGGAGGGCAGAGCAGGGCTACCTTGTCATCACTGTGGAATGGGTCAGGAAGGGATCGGGGCCATTAGTCACCTGAGAGATGCAATCAGAACCACACTGACGTATCGTCTCACTCCAGCATTCATAGCAAAGTTAACACCCCAAAACCACAGCCTAGAAAATAACAAATGCTGTCGAGGGTGCGGAGAGGCGGGAACCCTCAGCCTCTGCTGGGGGCCATGCAACAGTGCGGCCATGGCGGGGGCCAGTACAGCATTTCTTCAAAGTCGGAACTAGAACCACCCGATGGCCCAGGATTCCCTCTACTGGGGGGCAAATATGGACACACGCACATTCAGCTTCATCGCCTCAAAAAGATGGAAATCCCAACATCACTCAGCCCCAGATGAACAGATAAACTATGATACATACACATGATGGAGTACATGCAACAGAATAATGGACATGTGGAACACCTCATACCAGTGACGAGCCCGGAGGACTTCATGAAGAGTAACATTCAGTCCATCACCACCGGACAAATACTGTACTAGGTGACAACTGTAAAAAGTCTGCAAAGACTATCCACGCCAAGTGACAGTGATGGTTACCAGAAGGGAAGACGGCAAGGGGGGGGGGGAGGGCAATCACTGGCTAGAGGGTAGTCAAGAGTCCAGAAAGAGGGAAATGAGCAAAAATGATGGAGGCAGAGGGAGGCACTGGGAGGTGTGCAAGAGTTAAGGCCACGGAGGTCAATAGTTGCACACATAGAGTGATCTACAAGTGGACACGAGTGGAGACGTGGGCTGAGTGGGTATGGCAGGGTGAGCGGGAGTCTAGCCACGAGTATATACAGGTTTGACAGAGAATATCTGTATGTATTTGCCTCCGCTGCAAATACAGTCATGCGGTGGGAGAGCACACAAGGGGTAGTTAGGAAAACTCCTGAGACATAACCAAACACCTGAGGGAATGGGTTACCAGGCCTGGGGGAGACCACTGTCATACTAGGGTGCAGAAAGACAATGTTCTGCATTGTACTTTGCTGAGTAGTGACCAGGGCCTGAAATGCTCATGGGAGGCCAGCTAAGTACAACCAAGTGCAACACCTAAATGCAACTACTGGCCATTCACTGGCTGTCCAGACAAAAGAAGAAGAATGAAAATCAAAGGCACATGAGACCATGAGTCCAATGGCCATGCAAACATCAGTCTCCAAACCCTGAGATCTGAAGAACTAGATGGTACCCAACAAGTACTCCCAACTGCTCTGAAAAGGACCACGTTAGAAGGCCCTGGATAGAGTAGAAGAAAAATACAGAGAACTCAAAATCATAAAAGAGACCAGTCTTACTGGTCAGAAAAGACTCTGTTCCCCTGAGACTATGGCCCTAAATACCCTTCAAGTCAAGAAATGAATTCACCCCGAGTGACTTTTCAGTCAAGCCCTGCTGTTGTTACTGTAGGTGCTGTCCAGTCGGTCTAGACCCAGAGGGACCCTGCGTACAGCAGAACGACACCCCCCGGTCCTGCGCCCTCCTCACAAGTGTGCCCATGTTTGAGCCCATTGGTGCAGCCACTGTCATTCCATCGTGTCTCCCCTTTTTTTGCTGCCCCAAGCATGATGTCCTTTTCCAGGGACTGGTCTGTCCTCATAGTATGTCCAAAGTAAGGGGAACAATAACACGAGTGAGATACGTATGTACACACTCCTTCAACAACCCCAGTAGATCAAAATAGCAGCATTTACCCCGGGACTTAGGAAAGGAAGAGCAATGGACACAGGAAAAACAGGGAGGAGGTAGGAAATGTGATGTTTCATTGTGGGATCACAATCAGTGACAGAAAACAAAATGTGTATGAACTGCTGAATGGAAAACTGGTCTACTCTGTAAGGTTTCACCCTATTGACAGCAAATCATTAACAAAGGGCAGGAGGGGAGAGTGTGAGAATCTGGGCAAGGCAATTTGGAGGCTGAATCTGAGCGAGGGTTCAGGGTAGGTCTGATGTCAGCCAGCATCAGAGCAGAGAGAATACGGGGCCTGGGAGGCAGGGAGTCTGGGTTCTAATCCTAGTGTCCCACTTTACTGCCCTGTGCCCTCTGCCATTGCATTTCTCCATGTCTCGGTTTTCTCATCAGTAAAATGTAATCATCTCCTTAGTCGCTGTAGGTCTGGAGCTGTATATTTGAGTGATTTCCACGTTTTCTGTGAGAGTTCTCTCTCCACGATCATCTACAATAAACCTCCATGGAGTCACCTGAGAAGCAGAGAGCTGAAATGCTGCCATTTGCTATAACTTCAGGGCCAGCATCTGTACCTTGTTAACAACGAACTTGACACCAGGCTCTACTCTTTTAATTGATCGGCCTAATAAGAAAGGAACAGAAATACCCCTAAGGGATAAATGATATGCTAGAACCAAATGAGAGCCCATTACATCACATGATCAGTTCACAGTTCTTCAAACGGAGAAATTCTACCTGGTGAATGAGGCAAGTAATCATTTGAAGCAGGGGGAAAAAGAAAATCAGAAGTCCCTTTGCCAGAGAAGTCTCATAGCCGCCCAGGAATGGCAACTTAGCCAAGTGAAACTTTGCCCCTGATATTTTAACTACAAGTTGACTGATTTTAGTTTTGTGTGCACTTAATCTGTACACGCCTTTTGGTTTTATTGCTCGTATCTGGTATAAGCAAGAGGAAGTTATACTAGTGTTGTGTTTGTATATAATAAAATAACCCAAGTCATTGTGTTTGTATATAATAAAATAACCCAAGTCATGCTACTTCCTTTAAGAATGTCTACCCTTAAAAAAAAAAGAATGTCTATGCTGATCGAGCTTGAGGAATACTGCACCAGAGGGTCTCCTAAGCACCTTCAAGTTGTAACACTCATTCAAGAGTGCTGGCTTAAACCCTTAGCCCACATTCTGAGATCCCATCAGTCCTTCTCCTGCAGCCCCACTGCACTGCAGCCAAAATCTCAGATCCTGAACATGTCCATCAGTGCCACAGCATCAGGGACCACCTCACTCGGTCATCCTGTTACTCCACTGGCCACCAGCTCCCTGGGCTGTAACACTGCCTGGTGGTGCGACCCGCCCGTGTCCCCTGCCCCACCATGGCTGTGGCTGCTGTCCCCTCCCTTAGCTAACCTCTGAGCCTTCGGGTCTCAGTGAAGTCACTTCCTCAGGGGCTTTTGTCGTGGCCGCCAGAACAGATCTGGTGGTCCTGTTACAATTACCCATCATACTTGGGACTTTCCTCCACATAAATGTCACAGTCTAGAACTAGTTATTAGTGTGATTTGGGGATCCATGTCTATCATTCCAAGAACACAGGGTGAATGATAATCCCTGTTCTCTGCTGGATCCCTGAGCACCTGGCACTGGGTCTGGCACAGAGCAGGTACTCAATAAACACATGCTGCCAGGAGTCCTACCCCAATAGTCAGCTGTTCACCGACCTCTCAGCACACAGCCCCAGGGGAATTCTAGACAGGCTTCCGGTGAGCTACATCACCCCTGAGACTGAATCTCCCTGTCTGTAAAATCAGGGTGGCAGTCTGCCTAATGTGGCATGCTGCATAATGCAACCGCTACCCCAAAGACGTCCACACTGGATACCCTGGACTTGGAATATGCTACTTTAAATGGCAAAAGGGACTTTGCAGATGCGACTAAGGCAAGGATGGTGAGATGGGAAAGGAGATTATGCTGGATTATCCAGTCAGGCCGTGTTGTAAGAGAGAGGGAGCGGAGTTCAGAGTCACTGAAGGAAGTGTGATGAGAGAAAGAAGTAGAAGATGGAGTGATGAAGATAAAGGAAAGAGCCTCTGAAACCAAACCCAACCCCCACTGAGGAGTCCATTTCAACTCATAAGCATCCTCTAGGCCAGAGGATTCTACTGGTGCAGTGGGTTATGCACTGAGCTGCTAACTTCAAGGTCAGCAGTTCAAGCTCAACTGCACTGCAGGAGAAGATGAGGCTGTCTCCTCCTGTAGAGATTTGAAGTCTCAGTACTCAAAGGGCAGTCCTACCCTCTCCTACAGGGTCACTGATTTGGAATCAGCTTGGCGGCAGCGAGTTGTTGTTTTTTTCTGGAGGTCAGAGTAGAACTGTCCCATAGGGTTTCCAAGGTTATAGATCTTTATGGAAACAAGTTGCCACATCTTTCTCCCTCGGAAAGGCTAGTGTGTTCAAACCGCAGACCTTACGGTGAGAAGCGGGGTGCTTTAACCACAGCACCACCAAGATTCCTTAGGAGCTTCCGGAAGCTAGAGAACAAGGCAATGAATTCTCCCCTTCCCTTCAACACCTTGATGCTAGGAATTCTGACCTCCAAAATTCTAAGACAGCAGTTCTCAACCTGTGGGTTGAGACCCCTTTGGGGGTTGAACGACCCTTTCACAGGGGTTGCCTAAGAACATTGGAAAACACAAGTAGTTCACAATATATAATTACATAGTTTTGTGATTAATCACTAGCTTTATTATGTTCAATTTGTAACAATGAAAATACATCCTGTGTATCAGATATTTACATTACGATTCATAACAGCAGCAACATTACAGTTATGAAGTAGCAATGAAAATAATTTTATGGTTAGGGGACACCACAACATGAGGAACTGTATTACACTTGATCTTAGCCAAAAGGCCGAGAAACAATGGGGAGCTGTATTAAAGGGTTACGGCATTAGGAAGATTGAGAACCACTCCTCTAGGATAATAAATCTGTATTGCTTTAAACCAGGATGTTTGTGGGGAATTTGCTACAGCAGCAACAGAAACGATTTTTGAGGATTTAGATTTGTTGACACATGCAAACACTGTAAAAGGACCTAGCATTTTAGTAAATGTTTAAAAAGCCTTGGCTAGTGTGTATTTTTCCTGAGTTCTTCATACGTTGGCCCAACTGATCTTCCTAAAGCACATCTCTCCTCACAAAATCCCCCATTTATTTAGAGCCTGTGCGGACATCCCCAAGCACACAACAGAAGCCTCCCTCAGCAAGGCAATGGTTTTCTGAGTCAGCGCTTCCCATCTCTTGAGCAGTCCCACAGGCTTGCTCCCCAACCCTGCTCGCCATCCTGCAGACTCCACTTTGTAAACCACAGACGGAGACAGTCTTATCTTTGAGGCTCTCTCCTCTATTCATCTCTCCTCTGTATTTTCTTCATGGCAATTACTACTTGAAATTACATTGACTTCTCCCTAAAAAACCAGGAGCTCCACGAAGCTAGGGGTGTGAGTTGTGAGCAAGATTGCAGCCATTTTGATTTGAATAAGCCATTTTAAGTAGAATGAACTTTGTTATACATATATCACTGTACGTTTTGACTGTTCCCAAGAGTAATTTAATATTTGAATCCTGCTTGGACTCACACTGACCTACCAGTCCTACCCCACTGTATAAGACTGACAAAGTGAAGTCACTGGAAAGCAGAGGTCAAGATACTGAATAACAGAGTTCTTCTTTTAAGTGCTATTTCCCCCCCCACACCTATTGTGTTTATGGCCTGTCATGTATCTTGAGTTATAACCCACCTGCATGTAACACGCTATGGATATTGTTCAACACTCAGATGAGGACCCACGGCCTGGTATGTACTCAGAATGTATGTCCAATGAAGGAGTTCCACTCGGCTTGTCTTCTCCTCGATGGATCTCTTGAACCTCCACTTCCTGCCCCCTCTGTTAACACTCTTCCACAGCTCCCGCCCTTCTTTGGGAGAAGCTGAGCATCCAGGCTCCCTCACCACCCCTACTCTGAATTGGCCAGGCACAGTAGGGGCAATTCAGACAGCATGACGACCCCATGTGTGCCAAAGTAGAACTGGGTTCCACAGGGTCCGGGTCAGCTCGGTAAGTGGTGCTCTGGGAGCCTTGGGAGGCACACAGTGGTTAGGTTGGGTTTGACACCACTAGCTGTGCTCCGTGGTTGAAAGACGGTGCTAGCTACTCTATACAGAGTTCCAGTCTGTCCTTTAGGGTCACTAGTAGTCGGAAACGACCCCCGATGGCAACGAGGTGGATTTTTTGTGTTGTTTTTTTAAGGTTCTAGATTCCTGGCCAGATCTCTGGCTCCACCTCCAACTCTCAAGGGCGTGTGCTAAGCTGCAGACTTCCTGGACATCACCACCAGGGCTGTGCTTCCCACAGGGACGGGTCACAACTCGCCTGCAGAAAGAGGTGTGAGACCTAAACCTTTCAGGAGGGTTGTTTTGGAAACATCACGTACAGCCTGGTTACATGCTCGTTCCCGCTGGCCCCCCTGGGCCAGACATTAGGAAGGTGGATATCATGCGGAGGCGCCAAGCTGGCAGCAGCAGAAGGGGTGGGGCTGGGTACCCTCTTCTCGGGCAAACTGGGTGGCGGGCCGTGGCATCAGCACGCTGGGTTCTGGTTCTAGCTCAGCCACCATGTGTGTGCTCGTCCGATCGCCAGCTCGGTCTGGGGGGCACCTGGGCGTCCACCGCGGTGGGCCAGACCTCGGCCAAACGCCCAGCCACGGTGCGCTGCTCTGGACTCTGGGCCCGCATCCACCTCCCGCACACTGCCGCTCTTACCCGAAAGTCGTGGGCAGTGTCCTTGACTGGCTGCACGCGGTGGCCCTGGTGCCGGGGGTCGGCCTGGCACGAGCAGCACAGCAGCTCCTTGTCCTCGAAGCAGAAGAGACTGAACTGGGCGCGGTGCAGGCGACAGAGGCGCGGGGAGCGGTGCCCGGTGCAGCGCGCGTCCTCGGCCTCCTCGCGCAGCAGTTTCTCCACCAGGTTGTTGAGGGTGTGGTTGGTGCGGAGGTCGGCGAGGGAGGTGCGCTCCTTGCACACCGGGCATCTGGGCGCCACCTGCACCTCCCAGCTGCGCGTCACGCACACGCGGCAGAAGTTGTGGCCGCAGCGCAGAGTGACAGCGTCGCGGAAGGGGTCGTAACAGACTGCGCAGAGCAGCTCCTCTTTGAACGAGCGGGAAGGCCCCGGCGACGCCTCGGGACTGGGCTCCATGGCCGAAGCCCGGGGTTCAAGTGCTCGCGGCTTCAGCGCGCGCCCCGCCCACGCAGCCCTCGTCGTTCTCGCGATAGGCGGTGCGGGCGCCTGGAAAAGTGAGTGACAGCTGTAATAACCAATCACGCGGGGCGCAGTGGGGCGGCTCCGCCCCAGTTCCGGTCGGCCCAGGAAATCCCGGAAGTCTGACTCTCGCCCATCCGGCGGGCAGGCCTCTGGGCGGGGTGGAGAGGGGCGGTCTCCACCTCGTGGCTGAGGGAGTCCGTTAACTGTCCTGTGCTTCCGTGCCTTTGGGAACCTACTTCCGATTCTAAGTAGGAATAAAGCTTAGGAACCCCCGCCGTAAACTATCCTCAGGAAATTTGGCCCCAAATTCCTAGTTCAGAAGTAGAGGCTTGGTTTTTAAAAATTAGTGTCTTTACTACCTAGGACTTAAAAAGTTTTTTCAAAGACCTATCTCGTCTCTTGACTTATTGTTTACAAATGGCCTTTTGTGCCCTGAAACAATCTACGAAGAAGACCCTGCTCTTGTCTGTGGTTGAATTAGTGAGCAAGGCATAATCTTTCCAAACGTGTTCTCTTTTTGGTAACATTGACAGCACTGTCTCCAGGAGAAATGCAGGTAAACGTAAGGAAACATGGAAAGTGCTTGTGACGCTAGGCAGGCTCCGATGAAAATAAAGACTAGGCTTCTTTCTGCAAAGATAACATCCAGAATCAAAGCTGAATTCTCGCCTGGTATCGGGCCCTCAGTCCCTCCAACTCCCAATTCCTACCTTAGTTTTTTTGTGTTTTTTTTCATTTTACAGTCACCACAAGGAGGACTCTTCCCCTCACGTGCTTTGATTCCTGGTCCCTTCTCCAGTAAGAGATAATTCTCCGTGGATCTCTTATACACGTAAGAAAAGGGTTTTCAGATGATCCCGGAATGTTTCCATGGACTTTGCCGTGTGAAAAGAAGCTCTCACTGCTTTTCCCAAGGCTGTTTCTTTGGTGAATATCCTTGGGAGACAGAAATCGTTTCCTTCCAGGCAAAATCCAGGCACGTTTACATTCCTTCTCCCAAAATTATAATGGGCTCCCTGGTGACGTCGTGGGGTGTGCGCTGGGCTGCTAACTACAAGGTCGGCATTTCGAATCCACACGGCGCTCCATGGGAGAAAGATGTGTCTCTCTACGCCTGGAAACAGTTCACAGCCTCGGAAAGCCACAGGGGCAGTTCTCGCCTGCCCTATGGTAGCTATGAGTCGGAATGGGCTGGATGGCAGTGAGAGTAAAGGGCTCAGGTTCTCTCCGCTCAGGGTTCCTCCCAGGGTGTGTGAATTCCCCTGGCCCTCCAGGCATAGACTTGGAAATCAGGACACTGGAAACTGACTCAAATGGCATGGTGATACTGTGACGTGGCTGTTGCCATGACTCATACACTGTCTTCTGTGGCGATCAGAAGACTTCTACCAGCATACTTGAAGCTGTGGTAGGCTAACGTGCAAATAGAGTAAAAATCTCACACGCATCAGGGAGTTTAAGCATTTCTTACAAATTTCTCCTCTAAGTGGTCCTTTTTCCATAGTGTAAAGGGGATAAATACCATTAATTCTTAGTGCCTTCTGTCGTGTTTCTTATATGTGCCTCACATCCCTCGTAGGGAGCTTTCTGAAAGCATAAATTCCCAATCTCACTGCAGATTCAATGAGCTCTCTGATGGGAAAAGCCGGCTCGTTCTTGGGCATTCTAAACTTTGGGTGCCTTTGTGGTAGATCCAGTCCTGGTCTCCGGTTATTTATGGCTATGGTTTGACTTAAAAATTAACCCTATGCCCTTCAGGTCTGGCACAGACCTCTTCTCTGTGGCTCAATTTTCAGCCCCAAAGTAGGTGAGCCTAGAAGGTGACAATAATCCTAATGAGGTATGCACACCTTAGAATGGTCAGCCGTTTAAGACCAAAAGGGTACCCCACAGACCAAGTTCAGAAGATTAGAAAAGAAAGGAATGGAGGCAGGAAGCCCAAAGAGGTAGAATAAGTGATGTGACATCGTGAGGGTTGTAATCAATGGGAGACAAAATGTCCATGAATCGCTGAATAGAAAACAAATGATCTATTCTGCAAACTTAAAGCCAATTCACAATAAAAAGTTTTAAACAACAACCAAACTGTCGAGGCAATGTCCACCAAAGGCCAGACAATGAGGCTAATAATCTTATGCTACAGGTGCCTTCCCGGGAATCTTGTCTTTTTTGGCCTCATTTTCTTTCACTGTATTTTCTTCACTGTGTGTCCCAGTTTCTGAATTGGTCTGTGTTGCTGTCTGTATGTTTCATTCTGTCCTTCAGTGATGTTTCTTATTTGTGTCACACTCCTTCTGAGTGGGGCCACACATCAAATCAAGGGTGAAGGGTAGAATGCTTGCTTTGTTTTGAGTCAAAAGCAGGAAATATTAAAATGAGAACAAAGTTAAAACGGATCAAAAGAGCGATCAAATGATAAGGTGTTTGGTTTTAACCTAACTGCATCTGCAATAATCCACCTTCTGATGTGTTCTGCATGATAGCAAGGCTATTTACATCCCTGGTCTACGGTCAAAGGGGATTCATTCGAGGCCTAATCTTTGGGTATCTCACTTTCTTTTTAAACTGAAACAACTTTAAAATGGGTCAAAGGGTAGATCAAAAGATAAGATATTACAATTTAACCAATGCCAGGTTAAACATGACATAATCAACTTCACAATGCTCTCTGAAAAGCAAGACTATTCCCATCCCTCCTCCACTCTAATCAGAGGGGATGCACCAGAGACTTAATCCATGTGTAGACTCTGTCAATGAATTTTGGGATTCCCCTGTCATCCACAGCCTTCTGCAAACCAATTGTTCACAATTTAAGCTCTGATACCATTCCCTCCACATTTGGATTTTATTAGTTACAATGCGCTTCCATGTGGACTTAGTTGATGCCTCTCTTTGATTCGTTGTTTAAAGGCTGCGTGTTTGAAGACAAGCCTTTAAAACCCCAGATATTATTCCTTCTGAAAGCTGGGCACCGTCTAGTTTCTTCACCACACGTTTCTATAGTACCCATATCTTCAGGGATCTCTTCACAAGGGTGAACATCAAGCAGGGACATGTCATAAAAACTCATTATTCTCAGATTGGGGCTAGAATTAAGTGCAATACCAAAATCCATTCCTGCATCTATGGTTTATGTATGTCTCTGGTTTGCCGTAGAGACACCGTTGTCATTTTGCTTTGTTAGAGAACTTTGTCAATCATCCCCCTGCAGCACCACTTCCTCTGCCACCAAGTCAAGGCCATTCATAGCAACCCTACAGGAAACGGTGTAACTGCCCTACATGAATTAACCTTGAACCAATAATGTCCGCACGTAGTTCTGGGATTCAGGAAAGAGCTTGGTTCTATTCTCAGCTCCACCATTCACCTAGTGCATGACCCAGACACATGACTTCACTTTCTGACTTCCATTTCCTTACCTTTAAAAGAGAGATTGCACTAATAGTTCAACATTGTTTCCAGTGCAGACGTACTGGATTATTTTGTCTTCTGCATAATCTCAGTAAAGAAGGAGATTAAGATTTGGCCAGACTCAAGAGGAGAGAGATCTTGGTGACTATACCCAAACTGTTAGCAAACTGTTCTCTCTCTTCCTTCAGTGAGAGAACTCTGAAGTTCAGGGCCTGTGATGTTAAGGCTGTGTGTCACTTTGGCTGAGCCATGATTCTCAGTGGCCTGGCAGTTTTGATGTAGTGATTCCTCTGAGAAGATCTGATCTAATGCCATCACCTCGCCATCCGATCTCCAGTCCTTTGGAATTAAGCCAGAGGCCTGCTGATCCTGAGAAGCATCCACAGGCTGCCATTTCAACTGCTGACTTTAAATTATTTGTCTCTGGAGCCAACAGTCTGGCATCTGACCTGCCAATCTTGGGTTCATCAGCCCTGTAGCTACTTAACTCAGAAGAAGCCCCCAGCCTGGCCTCCGAACTTCTCCACTTCTACAAATAGACTATTTCCTTGAGCTAAATCTCTCTTGTGTACATATATATATTAACTTCATTGCTTTTCTTTCTCTAGAGAACCCAGCCTAAGACAGGGCCACTGTACACTAGTTTATACTAAAATATTATAAAGGCTCTCGCTGCCTCTAACCTCCTTCCAAAATTCCTGATTTGGTTTTTTATATTTGTTTTATCAGACTAGGGTTTATCTCTGTTGTATTTTGTTATCATTACTAGCCTTCTTAACTCTCTATCTTTTCTATGTTTTCCTGTATATGAAACCCAGGCTGGGCAAATCTATACAGACAACTAGATTAAGGGTTCCTGGGGTTGGGGGTGGTGGTGGCCGAGGAGGTGTGGGGTGGTAATAGAGGGCTAATATCAAGGAGCACAAGAAGGAAGAAATTGTCTTGGAACTGTGGTAGTGATTGTATAACACTTCTTGATATGACTGAACTATTGAATGTTATGTTGTCTGGATTCTGTCCCAATAAAATGACTTGAGGTAGGGAAGACACTGGGATTTCCCCACACACTTTTTAAGCCCTCTCACGAAGCCTTAACCATCACAGCCACTGTTACTCGTACCTCACACTCAGTATTCATTACTGACGAATGTATGTCATTGTTGCAAAAAAAAAAAAAAGATGTTTTACGGTGCTGTCGAAAATGGGAAATGTCAGCTAAGGAGAGAGCAGAGTAGGGAGGAGTTGGTGTATGATTTGATGCATACCACTAGGAAAGACTCAGAGGGGGTGGACGGCCTGGATGTGGTGGTTACACAATTTCATGTCAACTTGATATATGGAATGTGGGGGTGGAGTCTGCCCTATCACTCAGATCACAGCCTGATGGTGACTCCTTGTGGGAGTGGCCTTCTCATAAGGAGGGTCTTGGGGACCTCCCCCTCTGCTTCACCTTCCTGCTGATGAAACACCCTGAGCCACACTGATGGCAGCCAGATCCCTGGAAATGTGTCCACTGCCATTGGATCTACAAGACTTTGCACCCACTACCCTGTGGTCTTCCTGTATTCTGCATCATTGCATACGGCTGCATTGAGTCTGAAGAAGAATTTATGGACTAGTATCAGACTTATAGACTTGATCTGGACTGGGCTAGGATGTTTACCTGATGCATAATTACTTCTTGATATAAAGCTCTCTCATACATATATGAGTGTCCCTCAACACTAGAGTGTCCCTCT